CGTTATACGATCATCGCAAAAATAAGATTTTTCGGCACAAACAAACAAGTAAGGGTGAGCTACCATGCAAAATTCAAAGAAAAACATAAAACTATTATTATACGTAATACATTCACCATAAATTCTTGCAAGATGCAATTATCATACTAGACTCTATTATCCGGATATAATGTTGATGGAAGTCTCGGGTGGTCATGCACTTGTGGTGACATCTACGACACAGTTATGGCCAAATATTATATATCACATCACCCACAAGGTTAGTCCATTAACGTCTATGAATATAGACTAGGACCTCCTACTACTCTCACCATATAACACATCCTTCTCTAATTGAGACTGGACAATTATTAGAGTTTTAGGATAACCACCAACAACATGACCCTCAACATCAACATATACACTACTACCATGCCATTATAGAGTCTCTCCCCGAGACTCATACTATATTTCAAATGCATAATTTCATATCAAACATCATAAAATACATTGATAATAGAATTCATACAAGATAATTATGAACAATTTAACAATCATAAAATATTACTATAATTGGTCAGAGAAGAATTAAGTATTTGACAATCATATAAAAAATAATCTTATAATTAAAAATTCTTGGGAAACAAGAAGTTGAATCTGGCAGAGCCGGTTAGACAACTTCCCATCCTTCCACAAAAGTACAATATAAATAAATAAGGAAAACAAAAAAATCTGGAGAAACAAGAAGTTGAATTCTGGCAGAGCCGGTTAACAACTTCTCATCCTTCCAAAAATACATTTAAATAAATAAGGAAACAAAATAAAAAAGTTTGGGGAAACAAGAAATGTGAATCTGGCAGAACCGATTAGACAATTTCTATCCTTCCAAAATAACAATATAAATACAATATAAATAAATAAAGAAAGCCGTTAAAAAGTGTGGGGAAACAAGAAGTTGAATCTGGCAAAGCCGGTTAGACAACTTCTCATCCTTCCAAAAATACAATATAAATAAATAAAGAAAGCCGTTAAAAAGTTTGGGGAAAAGAAGTTGAATATGGCAAAGCCGGTTAGACAACTTCTCATCCTTCCACAATACAAAAGAAGCAACTAATAACATACAAATAGCATAACATAATCAATATCGCATTTTTAAACTATCAAACTTGGATCTCCTCACAGAAATATGTTCTTATTCAAAAATCAGATCATACAGAAACAAAATGCTCCATATTCAAGATTTAAGATCAAACAAAAGCAAAATATTACATATTCAAGACTCGTGATAATACAAAACAAAAACTTAAGGTTAGCTCGCTTACCTCATTTCAGACTTAATCTCCTCCTCTGAAACCGTTCTCCGAAAACTTCCAGAATTTCCCTCTACAACTAGAATTTCCTCCAACTCTCTTCTCTCACAAATTTTTCTAGAATTTTGATGTAAGTTTCAGCCTTCCCTCCCTTGCTTTTATAGCCAAAAAAAAAAATTTTACTATTCATTTTTACTATTCATTTTTTTACTATTTATTTTTACTATTCATTTACTATTACAAAAAATATATTTTAATCACCATTGCTAAAGCTTATATCTGATGATTCAATTTACGTGGAGTGTTTATCTCTTCCACAATTTAATTTAATTTTTTTTTAACTATTCACTTTTTACTATTCATTTTTTTTAAACCCTCTAAAATTACTCCAATCCTTTATCTTAAATTGTTAATTTTTCTTATCATAAGTTTTATTATTAATTATATTTTCTACCTTTAAAATTTATTACTACAAAAAAAATAATTGATATGATTTATTCGAAAGATAATATTTTTTTTTTTGGACTTACATTGTTGTATCCTTTCTAAATTTTAGTATATGATTGGATGCAATTATAGAGTGATTTTTATCATTTAGACAGACTCAAAGTTATTGTAGATCATTGTGTGTTTTATATTTCTCATAATGTATGTTTTAATATATTTTTTCTGTTTATTTTTCATTTATTTTCTGCACAAAATTTAAGGTTATATACATTTTGCAGTTTATGATATATATATATATATATATATATATATATATATATATATATATATATATATATTTATATATATAATATATATAGATATATATATATATATATATGGGGTTTGTAACGCGCGTACTCAGTTGGTACATTTTAGCAATGTGTACGCATTTTAGTAGACAAAAATATCCTTATATATTATGGATTCTAAGTTTTAAGGTTAAGGGTATTTTAATAATTTTCCTTCTCAAAACTTTAAAAAAAAAAAGAAACCCCCAAACCCTTACTCCCTCTGCATTCCTCTCAATCCTTTCTCTTCATCTCTCTCACTCCAACCTTTTCTCCCTCATTCCTACTGTAGCCCCAATTGAAAAAATCAAGAAACACTTGTTTAAAAAATTTGTCTTTGTAAAAAGTTGAGTCATTGACATATTCACCTTCAAGGCAAACGTTCATTCAAGATCTCTTCAATTTCATCTAAAAAAACCCTCCAGGCCAATTACCAATTCTTTTGAATTGTATTATGCTTGTGAAAATTAGATAAAATTATATACGACAAAAATTATAAAATGAAAACTCATTATAAATGTCATTTTTTGTAAGAAATTGTTTAATAACTGAGTGTTTTTGGTTTTTTTCCAGGCCAAATTACCAATTTTTTGATGTCATTATGCTAAAACTCATTATGAAATCATTTTTTGTAAGAAATTGTTTAACAACGAGTATTTCTCATTTTTTCCAAGTCAATTACCAATTCCTTTATGCTTGTGAAAATTGAATAAAATTAGAAAAGACAAATTATAAGATGAAAACTCATATTAAAATCATTGTTTTTGTAAGATTGTTTAACGATAAGTGTTTCTGATTTTTTTTCAATGGGACTACAGTAGGGATGACAGAGAAAAGATTGGAGTGAGAAAGAGGAAAGAGAAAGGGGTTGAGAGGAATGAGAGAGTGAGTAGAGGGTTTCTGTGTTTCTTTTTTTTTTATTTTAGTTTTGAGAATGAAAATTATTAAAATACCCTTAACCTTAAAACTTAGAATCCATCCATGATATATAAGGATATTTTTGTCTACTAAAATCCAGTACACATTACTAAAATGTACCAACTGAAAAACAGGCGTACACGCGTTAGCAAATCCCATATATATATATATATATATATATATATATATATATATACACACACACACGATGTAATATCCAAATGTATAAGTAAGTTTGCTTATAAATCTAGTTTTTATGAATTATATTTATTTGTAATTTGCATACTTTTAAGTAGAAGTATGGCTAAATTGTAGATTAACGTGATATTAAAATATTATTACATTTATTTATTCTATTTTATTATTAAAAATATTATTTTCAAATTATTCAACTTTTTTGTTGGAGATCTAAATTTTGAGTTGTTAATTGGTAATACTAAAGTACATATAAGCCTTTATTTTTTTTGCCCTTTCATTCTGTTAAAGAAAACAAAAGTTGACTCAACCTTACTTAAAAATAGTGTATAAATTGATATATAAAAAAATATTATTATCTATTATTATAACAGAATTTAATTTTTTGTAAAATCGACAATTTTGAACACAAATTATATATAGTAAAATTAGAAGAAAGGAATGCAAAAAATTATGAATTTATTCTTCTCACTAACTTATGGAAGTTATAAGATTGGTTTAACAAGTTAAAAAAAACGATAAATATTATAATATAATTTTTTTTATTAACAAATACTAACAATTAACATTTATTAATTTTAATATATATATATATATATATATATATATATATATATATATTTAAAGTGATTCATCTTGTACATTAATTTTAAACCGAAGAAAAGCTCCCTCCCAAAAGAAATACGGAATCTCAAACACTTTTGGATTTTACTGTAACTAAATTTGAACTGGTCACTTATTTTTACAACACTTTATTGTAAAGAGAAGAATAAAGAGCCCAAATCAGTAATAAAACTAATTAACAGTCTATAAAACATAGACATGTTTGGATAAGTTTGTTCATAAATAAATAAAAAAATTAATTTTTAATTATGAAAAAAATAATTTATAAAAATTATCTGATAAATTTTTATAAATTAATTTATAAAAAATATTTTTTATTTTTCCTTTTTGTAAAAAAGTTTATATCTGGATCAAAAATATCCGAAATTCATCCACAGACAAAGAAAACCTTAAAAAATAATTGAAGATTACCTAAAGCTAATTTGCTTACCTATAAAACTGAATACGAAGTTGGGCCTAATCACATTGGATCAACTTTTGTACTGCTGTCATTAGCTTTTCATTTTTTCACTTTTCAAGCATAAATGAAAATTCCTATTGTTACACGGAATGTAATTGCAATTATCTGAGTTGATACCTTGTACGCAAATCAAATCCCGATAAAAGTGAGGTATTAGCTGTGATAAACGAGAGGTGAAGCCTTCTAATGATGTTCAAATTCAAACGCCAAAAGGCTGCAAATGACCATGGATGAAGATTAACAGCGTAATTTGCTTTTCTTATTTTTTTAAAACTTAAATTATGTTTTGTTCTTTTTAATTTTGTAATAAACCTTGAAATAGTAGGCGGAGATATTTTTACGAGCTTCAAAAATCAAGTGCACTGTACAGAATTTCCTTTCTAGTTAGATTTAACTAGACATAAAAAACTGTAAAAATAAACTAAAAAGCTCGAGGTCTTCCTACGATAGACTTCACGATTTCACAACCACTCTTTTAGAAGCATTCACGCATTCACGATGAATTAAAAAGTTCGATAGAAATTTGAGAAGGACAAAAAATAATATGGACTTAAATGTTATTTCCAATCGATAATTTGAAGTGACATTTTATTTATTTTTCCAGATAAATATGCATAACCGAGTTGTTCATTTATGAAGGAAATGTTAAAAAAAGAATAAAAGTAGGTAACATGTTGACATTCAATTAAATATGAAAGAATAAAAGAAATAAAAAAAAATGGAAGGTGGAGAGGATAGTGGAACTCGAAAGAAGGAGGAATAAGCAAATGGCATGTACAGTGTACACGATAAAAATACATGAATCTGGAAACCATTAAAAACGATATAATTAAAAAAAAAAAAAATAAGAAACACCTGGCGCAATATAGCCTAGGCGTTGTAACCAACGCGCGCGGTCAACTCAACGCGCCACCGTCTATACCAGCCGGAGCACCCCCGGAGAGTAATTCTGCTAGAGCCGTCATGGTTCGCACTTGCATCTCCAAGGCGGAGATATAGTCCGTGGCTTCTTCCAGAAGGTTTGGGAACGAGACCTTCCGGCAACCGGGAACCAACCGGCTGAGAACGCGCGCTTTCTTCTGCACAGCCGGTAACCGGTTCCTCCTCTCTCCGCTGTTGATCCTCGCTCTCTTCAATCCGGTGGACGATGTCTTCTTCGCCTTCTTGTGCTGCGTGCGAAGCTTCCTCCACCGGCCCAGAATCGCGCGACTCCACCGCGTTCGGCCTCTGGCGGTGGCAGCGAGAATTCGGTCTGCGGTCTCGCGGACCTGGCCGGCGGCCGCAGGCCTGGCAACCGATGATGGAGTCCGGCGGAGAGCCTCGACGAGGCGGCGAGAGTAGATCCGTTGCTCCGCCTCGGATCTCCAAGGGACAGCGTTGGCGGAATTGTGATCGGCGGCGTGGTCTCCGATTTTCCTGCGCTTCTTTTGATTAGATTCTCGCATCGTTTCTGAATTACTTGAATCTACGTTGGGCTCAAAAGACTCCATAGATAATTGCAACCGAATGATTTGTCGATTGAGATGAAAAGATAAGAAGAATTTGAACGAAACCGTGAGGAAGAAGTCGATGGTGTTGGAAGCCAAGTGGGAGAAGAAAATAGAAGAAGAGAAAGAGTATAAAAGGAGTTCAAGTCACGGGGAACCACGCGTCCTTCAGTTACTCACATTTATTGCCCTACTCTTTCCTTTCCCCTTTTTTTTAACAATAGAACCAGCCTTTCAATATTATAAAATAAAAGGTTAGGATTAAATATCATTTTAGTTTCTAAATTTAAATGTGAAATTAAAATTTATAGGTTACAAATTTTGATTAAGTTTTATTTTTAAGTTTTAAAAATAAATAAATATAATAATTTTAATTTAATGGTGTTAACTTGTTTTAGATGTCAATATTTATTGTTTACATTATGTTTGAGTTCGAATATCAATTTAAAATAACAACGTTTAACACAAAAAAAATTAATATTAAATTAAAATGAATATATTTATTTATTTTGAAAATTTAAGACTAGGTATATAAAATTTTGAATTTTAATTTTATATCTAAATTTAGAGATTAAAAATATAATTAATTTTGAAAAATATATTTCTATCTTTTCCTTGAAATAACAAATAAGGTGTATACTTTTATTTACTAAAAAAGTTATAGATATGAATTGGTTTTGAAGAATAATTTTGAAAGAAATAGATTGAGGGGTTTGATATTAACATGGGTGAATATTGATTTATTTGGTGTATAATTAATTTGAGGGGGGGTAATGAAAGGGGTGGGAAGTTTAAGTATGAGTTTAGTTTGACTAATAAAGCGAAATGAAAGATTAACCAACAACAAGTATGTGGTTTGAATATGATAATAATAAAATAGAGAGAGATAGAGACCTCACATGAGGAAAGTTGAGGTTTATTTGATTGGACAAGAAGGGCTAGTGGACAACTTGCTTAATTAATTTTATCGTATTCTCCCCCACAGTTCTAACTAATTCCTTTTCAATTTTTAATTTTGATTCTAATTTTCGGTTGAAGAAACTTTAAAAATTTGCATGTCACGGGAGGCATAAAACTAATTGTAATTAAAGGGAGAAAGGGGACTCCATTTTCAAAGCATGTACATCCTATTAATCACACTATTATTTTGTGCCTCATACGGATAAGATCTCCCATGTTCCCTCAATCATCTTAACTTGCTTGCAAAGACAGAGCCTAAGAGGAGAGAGGAAAGAGAGAGGAGGGGACAAAAAAGAAAAAATTAAAACATGATTAGGTTAACCCATGTGTCTACCTTTCATTTGGCGCAACATCACCTATTTAAAACTCCTGTAAGTAACTCTTTTTACAAAAACTGCACATTTTAACCCTTCTCAGAAATCAAACAGAACCGGGGCTCATCAAGATTGATGGTCAGAGTGGTCATGACCCGGTCACGCTAAATCATGAACTTTTCTCTATTTCGTTCGTTCATTTTTTGGCTGGGTGTGAATGGCTAGCATGTGATAAAAGCCACAAAATGTGTGTTAAATTTCACTGTGGATCTTACCTTTGCCTGCAAGGATTGTTTAATGGTTTGGTTTATATTTTATGATTGGTAAAGAAATAAGTTTTCCAATGTTTTGGACACGAGGTTTGAAAAACAGGTTGATGAATTGATAAAGTAAGGGGTTTATTGGAAGGAGAAAAAACCTTTTATTTTTTTTAATGAGAAGGCATTGATGATGAATGGGAATGAGAAACGGAGTTGTCCTCTGTTGATTGGTTCCTGAAATGGGGCCAAACTTGTTTGTTTTTATTCTTGGCAATGATTAGGGGGTGATGCACCCAAATGGATGCCAAAATACAGAAAAAGGAAGACATGTTTTTTTTTTCTTTAGCATTTTCTATCTATCGGCTGGCCCTCTATTTTGTATTTATTTATTTGTTTTTCAATGTATGAAAGAAAGGATTTTTGGACTGACTTCCTCCCTGAGACGGTGTGGCCAGGTTTCATCCACATTGCCCACCCCTTTTCTCTCTGAAGAATAATAATATTCTACTGTACACTGCCCTGCATTATTGGTAAACTAAGCACTTCATTTTGGCCACCACCACCACCCTCCATGGCTTTGAGAAAAGCATGTTAAAATATCAGCAACAAAGTTCAGAATAAAATAGCTGTGGCGAGAATGGAAAATTGGAAACAAAATCTGTCAAAAATCTGATCAGCCTCGTATCCAAATGGCAAGCCAGAGAGCTTTGTCTCCCGGAAAGAGACACGCCTTGCTGTCTTAACTCCCTCCTAATATATTAAACAACAACGCAATTGGTCCAGTACAATCATTTTTCGCATTCACCCAAGAAACAAACAATACACTATTACTTTCATTCTATCATAACCATCTACAGTTCAAAACCTATGTGATAGTGAGACCGAGAGAGACCTCCTCCATCGATATTTTCACCTCATCATATCAAACAGATGCTCAATTACTGAAAGCTATTTTTACCTTTCTTATAGATTTGCTCCGAATCTTGTATTTTCATGTGGGGTTACTTACGAGGATTTCCACTTTAAAATCTTGTTATCAATCCATGTGAGAAGATATGACTTATATGATGTGATGAGACTTTTATGCAGCTCCTCTTCTTAGTTTATAATCAATATTCAATTTGACTTCTAATAAACCAATAATTCCATCCATCTCCACTTAATTAACCATGTTCCGTGAAGAACCCAATTTGCGTTTCACTTCCTCGTTTCTGACCATATTATATAATAATTTGCTGGAAAGTTCAGCTCTTGCACAAACATTAGTATATATATATATATATATATATAATACAAAAGATTAGTTATAGCAGGTGACCGCATAAGACAAACAACATTCATTAATGATGCCGCTATGCTCCCCAACATGTTTTTCTTGCATTAAATAACCTCATAACGTATTGTGCAGTTTCTTATTTGTTTTATCTTTTCACCTGTTATGATGATGCATGAATGGTTGACCTTGGACAGGCAAAGCAAGCGCCGACTCATCACAATTCACGAATTTGATGCAGAGCACCAAAATTCGCACCTTCTGCTAATTTTTCTTGACAGCACTAAAAAGAAGAGGAATGATGTCTGCATAGAAAAATGTTTCTCCCACGAGAATTCTATCAGCAAATGGCTTGCACCAAACTAGTAGTAGACAATTGTTAGGCAGAGTTTTAATTTGGGATTTGGTGCAACTAACGCGTTTCACTCTGTCTTATCTTGAATATTATTATAAATTATAGTAAGTGTTGTGGTGAAGAAGACTGTTTCTAAAGACTAATTAATTTGTTTGCAACCTGTTTGTGGAAATGATTTATGCTTCTCGGCATTCTGAGAGCGAATAAAACACACGAATGTCCAATTATTGGCCACCCCACAAGCTTTATATTAATCAAACGCAACTGTTTGCCTTGCTAACCAATCCATCCCTTGCTTATCCACAAAACAATCATCATAATCCTGTTTATTTCTATAATATTTGCTATTAAGCGTATTCTTCAATGTCATTACACAATTCTGATGTCATCTTATTAGGCTAGAGAAAGCCAAAACACCTGACACACACATTGCAATTCTGAATTTGGACGGATCTCTCTGGAAGATGGATGTGTCTTTATTTTGTGGATTATTTTTTTTTAAAATGTAATATGGAAGCTATTATTTTTATGTTTGTCATTAGTTTTTCAAATTTATTGTAACTATTATTATTACTTATGTTTATTTAAATAAAAAATCCTAAATATTTTTGAAAATGTTGAAATGTGTGAGAGAGGTTTGTTGCTGCTGTGTAGTTGAGAAATCACTGTCCGAAGGTGGCCTCACGACAATTTTACCTTAATTTGGTTAATGTAAAGGTGTATTAATTCGAAGTTAATTATTTAGTTATAAATAATAAATTAAGCTTTCATTTCACTTTTTGCATACATTACAAAAAAAGACTAAAGATACTACCAAAAGAACTAGACCGTTACGCTTATTTCCATTAGTGTAAACCGTGTTTAATTAAAATGTTTTATAGATATAGTATATTCACACTAAAATTTAATATATCATCCTATACGAAAATTTAATAAAATTATCTTATTTATTATTATCAAAACTAGGATATTAAAAACAAGACTTACAAATAAAATCTTTTTATACCTTAAGTATCTATATTGATTATTTAATTAATATTTTAAAAAAACGACATAGAAAATCTTAGGTTTAAACCCTCCCTTGGTCCTCAAGTTTGTATGAAAATCTCAGTTGGGTCCTCAAGTTTTTTTCTGTCTCAATTGGGTCATATTTTTTGTAAAAATGAACAAATTTTATCCTAACCGTTAAATTGTAACAAACGGCGTTAGTTGGTGCTGACGTGTTTCATAATTAATACGCTGATGTCAAAATATTTGATTACGTGGAATTTTTATTTAATTTGAGAGATTATGACATGGCACCGTTGTATTGTAGATTTCTGTTCAAGATGAGACAGAGGAAGAGCATTCCGACTTTCTTGCGACCAGCGAACTTGCAGATCCAAAGGAACAACCTCTCCTTCTCCTTCTCCTTGAGCATCTTTGTTGCCTTTCGTGCAAAGCCGTTCTGTACCTGTTTATCCAAAGACCCATAACTTCCAGAACGAATTCAAATACCCAATGGAGCAGACATTTATGCCCCACTCATTCCTCGCCCTTCTCTTTCTCTCCACCCAGATCACGCATTCATCCACGCAACAAAATCCAACGCCACCAATTCCCAATGCACTCTCATCAATCCCACTCTCACTTCCAACTCAAAAATGGGAAAAAAAAAAACAAATAAACAATAACAATAGGAATAGGAATAAAACAAAGTTGATTCCCCTTTGTGGTTATTCAAGATCCCGAAATAACACAAAGAACAGAACCATGTATTGGGTGGAATCCTTCTTTAGAATTTCCAATTCCTTCACTGGTTGTTATTGAACAACCATGTATGCTGCAAAGTAGTGTGAGACAAGAGCTTGCTGTAAAATCCTCAACTTGTTCAAGCACAGGATCGTATCTTGAAATTAAAACTACACAAGCACCACATCCCCTGAAACCAACCATTTCAAAACATCAAGTACCAGATTGAAAAAAGAATTAGGACTACTTAAAGCCAACAC